GAGACGGGGTGGGAGGGGTGGAGCGCGCTGGACAATGGCGTGGCAGAGCCCATAAAGGACGTCTCCTCTCCTCCTCTCCCGAGATTTACGCCCAATATACTCTATCAATAATTAGTGGCGTAATAAAGACGCACGCGCTCGGACGGGCGCAGCGCATCCGCACCCTCTCTCCAACTCGCAGCTCTCTCTCTCTCTCTCTCTCTCTCTCTCTCTCTCTCTCTCTCGTCCTCGTCCTGACTCCAGCACCCACGCTCTTTCCTGCACCCTCTCCTCCTTCCTGCAGCACGACCACCAACCACCACGACCACCACAACCACCGCGACCACCACAACCACCACGACCACCACAACCACCACGACCACCACCACCACCACAACCACAAAGGCATCCATCACAACCACCAGCACAACCGACCACCCCTGACATGGGAAGAACGATAAGTGTGCCATAAAAATTTACCGGGCCTTTCCTCACATGTACTGATTGACGTTTTCCCCAATTTATAATCGAAATATTAACGTTCACTGTCCTTGCTCTCCCATGACTTCGCCCCATCTCCTTCTCCCGCACGCACGCACATCGTATAGTAGCACGTCTCTTCATTCAGCACACACCAACACGGGAGGGCGCGGTGTGACGGCATGCCCTAGCACTACCCTCCGCGTGTCGCCCTAAAAGACCCACCCCGCCGCGCCACGCTCCGCCACGCCCCGCCACGCCCCGCCACGCCCCGCCACGCCCCGGCCTCGTGCGGCCTGGTAGCTCCCGATTGACAGGGTGGATTCGCTCCATCGCCTCTCGGTGAGCAAACAAGACCGCCCGGGAGGAAGGAGGAAGGCAGGCCGGTCCTCGGTCCTGCTGGGGGTCCTGCGCCCGGGCCCGGCCCGGCAAGGGGGACCTTCGTTCTCACGCAGTTGAAAAAAAAAAGAGTTTCTTTTAGGTGGATGAATAAATGTCAGTTTTAGAGATCTTCGCTATGTTTTCTACATAAAGAAAAATGTAACTAAAAAAATCATGAACACTATACTAGCAAAGTATTTTCACATGTTGAATTTGTTAAAAAAAAGTTAACAATTCTTGTTAACGGCGAAACGAACACATTGTTAGGGAAATTTAGTTCTAAGGTGTTAAAGACAAAGCACTCTTTAATTTCTTGTTCAGTTTTTTCTGCGTGGTGTCCGTTTAAAAAATGAAAATAAAAATGTTTTATAGGCAATGATGCATAAATCTCATGAAATTTGCGGCCAGAGTATGTGGCCCTCCTCGCCCAAAGGACTCCCTTTCTCACTCCCACTCTCTCCGTCTCTTCCCTTCCCCCTCTCTCTGCTCCCTTTCTCTCACTCGCACAACCTCGGCAAAAGACAAACGTCCCCGCGCTTTGGAAAAGCAAACTGACGGATGGCCGTCTGTTCGGCCGGAGGCCGTGAGCGTCGCTCGACCACGCCCCGCCCCGCCCCGCCACGCCACCGTGCTGGGTAAACTGTTTACTCCAGGCGGCCACCACCTCATAAACATGCTGTTTCTCGCTCGCGTTTTATTGCACGGTGGGGAGCAAGGGCAGGGCGGGGCGCGGCGGGGCGCGGCGTGGTGTGGCGGGGCGTGGTGGGGCGCGGCGGGCGGGGTGTGGCGGGCCCGCGAGGCACATGAGGTCAATAGTAGGCGCGCTGCGGGGTTTAGAATCCCATTAGTCTGCAGTTTAGAAGGGAGCGGGAGAAGGAGCCCCGGCTTTGAGGGGCGTGGCGGGGCGTGGCGGGGCGTGGCGGGGCGTGGCGCTGTCCTCTTGGTGATGACACTCGGGGGATAAACAACCCCCGGTGCGGTTTACATCGTCCCCTTTTATCTCCCCGCCCAGGCGACCTTCCGTTGTACCGAAACCAGACATCGCCCGCGGCGACCCCGGGGCGGGGCGTGGCGGGGCGTGGCGGGGCGTGGCGGGGCGTGGCGCTCGCACCCCAGTGGCGCCGCTGATTGTGGCACCCG